ATAACAATGAAATCCCAACAGGTTTCATAAGGAAATTTTATTTCTTTGAAAAGAAAAATGAGCATAACTGATCTAGATCTGCACTGATCTGCACTCATAAATGTTACCTTTATTCCCAAATTATGGCTGAAATATAACATGAATCGTGTTTTGATTGTGATATTCGTAATCAGAAAAGGCTCCTGAAGGCTCGTACAGAGCTATTTTTTTGTAAAAAGGCATAACAAAAATATTTCTGTCACTCCTGTCGACCCTTAAGTAAAGAAAAATTAAAAAATTATTTGGTATTTACTATTTTACATAACTTCTTCTAACTTATTTCTTATTTAATAATTTAAATAAGTTTTTGAAACATATTTTATGTTTTTTATTTTAAATAAATCGTATCAGTTATTTTACCGAGATGTAAAAAAGTAATTAATATGATACTTGAACCGATAAATTATATAAAAGATAATAATACAATTGATGTTTGTTTACAGCTCAGAATGGCAAAATTATATGCGGAATTATGGGAGTATTAATTTTAGTTATTTTATCTATTCGATGGATTTGGTATAAAAAATGGAAAATTTGTCATAACTCTGAACAAGATTTGGAAATGAGGGACGAACTGAAACGGTGAGTCAATGAGACATTCTGTTATCAAATTTTTAGGTACAAAACTGTAATGAGTTTTCTAATATAAATTGTTTAGTATTATTGAGGGAATTATATGAGGATTAACAATTAAAAATTCGCGGCGTTTTCTATAGACGAAGAAGATTATTTTATTAGAAAAAAAAGAAAAATAAAGTAATAAAAAATATATATCGATTCACTCACCGCTTTCCAAATCTGCTTTGTTGCACAGGAATTTGGCACACACCTCAAACTGACTTTCTTTTGTTTGACTTGTTTTGTTTCGTACAAACTTGCTGTCACACGAGGATTAATAATAAACAACTCGCGGCATCTTTCCGATTGACAAAAAAGACTACTTTGGGTGCTATCCATCTAATGACACAAATCACAAGTGTCGTTCTACCTTTGTCATTCTACGAAAGTCAAGAAGGATAAACGACGTTTTTGTCGACATGTGTCATCAAATGGAAGCACCTTTGTTAGCAACAAAACGACATATCATTTCCGGCTTTGTACGTCTCAGGTATAACTGACTACTGACTGTAACTGATTACTACAAATTGTATCTCAGACTAGTAAGGAAAACTACAGGGTGTCAGAGGCCTTGCTTCAGTCACGCCATCTAGTGATTTCTGTTTTTTAGTGCGGAAAACGTCTTACAAAAACCTTAACAGAGCTACGTCAGACCTACCAGTGCCACCTAGGTATCACTCTATCCTTGTTCATTGAACGTTAAACAAGGATGACATGACTGCTAGGGAACACCTGGGAAGGAATTAAGTGTAGAATCGTATAACCGACGAGATACTATAAAGACCGTCCCCTTGAAAAACTTTCTGTTGGAGGATACCTGTAGGAATGAAGCACAACTGTGAAGTTGGGGGCCATCTTCACACGAGTCCGGAGGACTCAGAGATAAATGTAAAGCGTTTTCGTTATCAACATTTGATGTAAATTTGCAGTTATTAATATAAATATTTGGCTAATACACATTATTAAATCCATGATTTTTTAATGATATATAAATATTCCATAAATATGTAAGTATGTGCATACTTGTAACGCTATAGCTATAATATGTTATACATATATTTTCGCAAAATTACAATTTTTTTCTTTATAGTTACTATCGCGCTATTGATAATCAAACTTGCACAATAATATTGAAATCACAATTTTAAAGAAATATCGAGTATCATTGAGCTTTAAGTACTGGCACGCTTACATATACACGTATGTATATATGTATGAAATTAATAAATCATAAAATTAATACTATATTGTTAATTTCTTAATATAAATTATTTAAATATTACGCAAACTCCTGTAAGGATATTGGTACTTAATAGTAACTCGTCGATGGTTATATTAATGTAAAATCAATTCTTGCTTTACAAATAATATTTTTAATTATTTAAAATTAATTACATAATGCACTTAAGACTCCTGAGTAATTATCATAGCCGTATATTGAATTGTAACGTCAAAAGCGAGAAATGACGCGTTAATTTTTATTATGTGTCATTTGTAAATAAAGACAATTTTTAATTTAAGTAAAACAAAATAACGAGATCACTTTAAAACATTTAAAAATAATCGAAAAATATACTTGTTTCTCCTGACAATTAGTAATAATTATAAAAAGAGTGATAAAAGACACGTATAAGTGAAAATAAGCTACGCAATGTATAAAAGTACTTCATGTGCTTTTGATTATGTTTTACAATTATTTACTGACTGTTAGCTGGGAGAGGGGGATAAAGATAACTTTCATCTATTTTTACAATTGTTTTAAAGCGATTTCATCATTTTATTTTATTCAAATTATATTTATTTACAATTAAATGGCTAGTAATAAAAAATGACATATCATTTCTCGCATTTGTGATGTCACGATTTAATATGATTGTGATGACTATTCAGGAACCTTAAACATAATGAGTCAAAATATAATTCAGGCTCCACAATTAAAAAATTACAACAACTAATTAATCTTGAAAAAATCCAATGTGAGCCAATACTAGATATTCGTATACATAATATACTAATTTACTCACGCGAATATCTAGTGTTGGCTCACACATTAGCTTCTTTCAAGATTAATTAGTTATTGTAATTTCTTAAATTAATATACATATATAAATAATATTCATACAATATATATTTCTTCATACAGTTATCAACCAGTGAGATGTCATTAAATCCAAATTTAGATATAGATTTCCCACATTCCGTAATATATACTCAGATTGGATATTTCAATAATCAAATTTTAACCATTAAAAAAAATAAAAGAGTATATCAAGAGACAAGGTAGTGGCTAGCGCCAAGTGAACGCGAAGCGCAAGACCGCACCGTGTATCTTTACGCGAGTCCATGAGTTCCGTGTACCTACCTGAGTTATCGGATCTCACAATAAATGGCTGAATTTATCAACTTTTAAATAGTCTTAATTTAGTTTTTTTGTTTAAATTATATTATAAATATGTTTTTAGTTTCTACGTACCCTATGAAGGAAGATATCTCGATGTGAAGTTCAAATATCTAATTTTGACATTAAGATACGTCATCATCGCCCTCGGAAATGTTGTCCGTTTCTCGTTTTAAACGACAGATGACGCTTGCTAGCATATTTTATTTTATATCGATTAGCTGTCAACGTAATGACATTAGATAGATAAAAGTCAGCACGCGATGGCAAAGGAGGATTTTTGTATTCTGTTAAAGCAGTCAATGTCTTCAAAGCTTATGGAAAAAGTGTTCGAGAGTCGATTTTGGTTCCTTCTAGGCTATGCTTTGAACTGTACTGTCGCTCTGTCGTCTGTCAAGCAATGCCGAAGAGAATAATGAACGAAAAAGGATGAGATAACGAGAACGAGAATAACGATCTGAATAGAATTGCTAAAGCTACAGGTGCGCAATTTCTAACTTCGCTAACCAACATGGAAGGAGAGGAGAGTTTTGATGCCAGTTTTATATAAATTCTCACGGAATTATAATTAGCACCTAAGATATAGCTCGATCGTAAAAGGCATTTTATTGGTTGTATTTCTCACGGTCCTATAAGATTAAATATTTAAATATTGTTTCTTTTTTATTTTAAGGCCAAAAGCACGCACAGCGAGCTCTATTATTATATTTTACGCAGATCAAACGATTATTACTGTGACGAAATGGAACGTTCCATACATGATGCGTTATGCGTTGTCAAGAGAGTCTTGGAAAGCAAGAATGTCGTCGCAGCAGGAGGTTGCGTGGAAGCTGCACTTTCAATATATCTAGAAAACTTGGTATCATCAAATTCTGAATTTTTTTCAGTTTTTTTTCCTTTCATAAGATATTTATACATTTTTACATTACAGATTTTCCGACAACAATTGGCTATAGCGGAACTTGCTCGATCTTTGCTAATTATTGCAAAAACATTAGCCATAAATGCTGCACAAGATGCAACTGCGATCTTGTTGCCAAGCTTCGAGCCTATCATAATTCCAGTATAACGAAACCAGATCTTGTTGATCTAAAGTGATGAGTTGTTTATCTTTTTTTAAGATAAAAGCGTTTTTTCCGAAAATATATACGTTCGATTAAACATTTTACCTCGAAGCTTTCTCATTACATGTTGTAAATGTGTATATACTTGTATTAAGATTGACAAATATGATGTACACAACTTACACAAATTGACTTAATTTATAAATTGAAATATATTAAAATAATTTTAAAAAAGGAGATAAATATAATAAATGTTTTATTATCCAACACACACAGCTTATGTACAGTTTTATAACTTATTTTTAAAGCATCGATTAATTTCTTTTATATTCACAACGTTTAATGCATTGAAAAGCATTTTTTATTTATATCTCTATATCTTACATATATGTATGTGTATATATATATATATATATATGCGCGTGCGTGTGTGTGTGTATGTGTGTATGTAATATTAATGTACTATATGCACATTTTTTGCAGCAGAATACTGACTTACAAATTATTTGTACACAAAGTTAACACCTACATAAATTTCAAAATTGTAAAAATGGATTATTATTACGGATTTTTATTTTATGCGCGCGCAAATTGAAATAGTCTACATGCGACATACGAGTAGCAAGATTGTAAATCTTTAGATATTATTGTGAGATATTTATATATATAGTAAAACATTTACAAATCTTTTATATTTTTTTCATATAAACGCATTGTATTCAATAATATATAAATGCATTTTAATATTAATCTTCCAATTCATCGCTTCCACAGCGTCTTGATAAGATTTAGTTTTCGAACATTCGGGATCTATAGTTTGATCATATCATCAATTCGAAGGATGGTTATGGCTACTTCAGTGGCGAATTTCAATTTCAATTTCACCATTTTAAATTAACAAGATCTGGTTTTGTTATACTGGAATTATGATAGGGTCGAAGCTTAGCGACAAGATCAGTTGCATCTTGTGCAGCATTTACGGCTAATGTTTTTGGTATAATTAGCAAAGATCGAGCAAATTCAGCTATAGCCAATTGTTCTCGGCAGCTCTGTAATATAAAAATGTATATAAATATCTTATGAAAGCAAAAAAGAAACTGAAAAAAATTCAGATTTTGATGATATCAATAATGTTGCAAAGTTTTCTAGATATATTGAAAGTGCAGCTTCCACGCAACCTCCTCCTACGACGACGGTCTTGATTTCCAAGACTCTCTTGACGACATGTTCGTTATCTTCTTCGGCTTGCTTGAGAGGCGAGATAGAGAGAGAGAGAGCATAAATTTTGCAAAATATTATAAATTACATCTCTGTAGTCAGGGAATGGAAAGTTACTTTTTAAAAGTAACTAGTTACAGTTACTCGTTACCGAGTAAAAAATGTAACGTGTTACAGTTACAGTTATCGCTTTTTAAAAGTAACTCGTTACAATTACCGTTACTCGAAAAATAACTTTTCGTTACTTTTCCGTTACTTTTTTAAAATTAATCTAAAAATGTACTTTTGCATTTTTTGCATTTTTTTGTTATATGTCCCTACCGTGAAAGTCGCATAAGACAAAATCATATGTCATGGTATACGTAAATGGGATAAGATCGTATGTGAACAGGATATGAAAGACATACGATTCATATCCGATCGTTTGTGAAGTATATGCGAATCTTACACGAGTCGTATACGAACCGTATACGAATCGTATACAAATCGTATACGATCATGCAATTAACATGTTATCGCATACGATCAGATATGATTCGTATGTCTTTCATATACGAATTTGAACCCTTCATATACGATTCTTATACCAAATTTACGGTAGGGGTAACACTGACAAATATAATGTATAGTTTTATTAAACAAAAAAAAACGATGTAGAATGGCTTAAATAATAAATTAAATAAAAGTAAAATGAGAAGGGTTATGAGCCAAAAATGAAACAGTTTATTTCCCATAAGAAAGACGATGACAATGTAATTAAATGTATAAATATAATATTAGAACAATAACATGGATAAAACAAGATAAAAACAAACGACGTTTCGACACTTATTGTCATCGTCTTATTGGAAATAAACTGTTTCACTTTTGGGTTCGTAGCCCTTCTCATTTTACTTTTATTTAATTTATTTTTTAACAATAATTAACACGTTAAATAGGGCGAATAAGAGTCAAATTACAATTTAAAATCTAAATCTGTGTTAATTTTATTCTAATATTATATATTCTAATATTATTATTTTTTAATTTTTTTAAACACAATTTTGTAATTCTAAAACCTGTAAAATATGCAACAAACTGAAATATTTGTATGTCCTATGTATTACATAGAAGATAGAAGTTTAAAATAATTACTGAATGATGACGGCCGAATGACTAAGGGCTTTCAAGTCTTATTAATAAGCTCTATAAATAGCATATGTATCCAATCGAACCGTGTTCAATCGTGTGCAAAGTAACGACAAAAGTAACTGTAAATTTCGTTACCGTTACCCAAAAAATGTAACTCATTACCGTTACCAAAAAAAGAAAGTAACGCAGTTACCAGTAAAGTTACCAAAAAAGTAACTTGTAACTGTAACTTCGTTACAAGTAACGAGTTACTTCCATTCCCTGTCTGTAGTACATATGCATTGTGACGTTGCAGCTCGCTGCGGCGTGGCAGCGACCCTTCGCCGTCACAAAGCGCAAATAGACGCATGACCCGGGCCGGGAATTGCGAGCGAGCGGAAGAATCCACCGGACATCGTCAGCAGGAAGAGCGAGAAGGAAGCAGCAGCCAGGACCGGAGTAGCGGCCGGCAGGCCTAAAAGCCCGAGAGAAGCGGGAGCCGCAGGAGGGCCGGGCGTCTAGCGAACGAAGGAGGAACACCTCGAGGAGGCGCGGGCCCGACAACTAAGACCGCCGTGTGCCATACAGCGAGAAGGCGGGCCGTCGGAAGCAACAGATAAGCTGCCGACACGAGTTAAGCCCGCAGAGCCTCAAACCACCCCCAAAGGACCTCGCCAGGCACGGCACTGCACGCGAAGGATCGCGAGCCCATAAGGCCTCCCTACACGATCAGTAATACTGAGTCAGTATTACTGATCAGTATTACTGACAGTATGCATTAGTTTTTACAATCTTATACGATCAGGTATTATTAATAATATTTCACTTCAGTTTGACGTGATTTGATGTATATTATTATCTATGACGACATGGATCTTAAGGAAAAAGCATGTATTTAAATCCAAATCATTGTCAGTATTCTACGTCAATCCACATTAATATTAACCACACACAATCAATAATATTCGTTGATACTGACAGTATTACTGACCGTGTAGAGAGACCTATAGATGGGCCGCGGAAAAGCGCTATAATATCCTCGCGGTAACTCTGGCGTGAATATGCATGCCTTTGTATGACCTTTTCTGTATTATTTTCGGCCACACGTTTAGTATTCGGTTCTGCTTGGCAGGACGAGCGAGTGATTCGCGTATCAATCACGACTGTCTTGCGACGGTAATTTCCGATTGGCTTTTATTCGCGGATTGAGTAGGTTCATAGCGCTTTTAGTTTATTGCTTTCACGTTAATACTAATCTCTCGCGCTATCGGATGTTGTATTTTCGTCATTAGTATTGCGAAATTATCGGTTCTTATGCGCCTTCACGTAACTCAATTTTCTTTTCGCCGAAAGCATAACTTTTCTTTGCATGTTCGCAGCGCTGTAGTTTATTCTGTATTTTCTTTTTGTTAGTCTTTCCACGCGCTGCCAATTCCATCCCTATAGGCGCATAATATTATTTAATATTAAATAATATTTTAGGCATATTCTTAAAATATTAAATGTAACATTTTAATAATATTTTACTAAAGTTATATAATATTATCTAATATTCCCGAAATATTAATGGATGGTTATATGTCCACTCCCGATAATATTATATGATTGTTAAAAATAATTTTAAATAATATTATTGTAATATTGTATGAACATTAAAAAAGTAACATTATGGAGTATTATAATTATATTATATAAATATTAAAAAAATAATTTTTAATTTTATAACAATATTACATTATGAAACCTATTTTTATTTAATAATTAAGAATTTACCAATGTTACGGATGTTATAAGTATTGTTTATTTATTAGTATGAAGGATATATGGGGAAAATAGAAAAAAATCATTGATATATTGTGACTTTTATTAAATGAAATCTTCCTTTATAATTTATTTGTATATCTTTTAATTCGTGGAGTTAACAGTTTTCTTTAAAAAATCCTCTTTATAAAAGAAACAATATTTTTCTAAATGGCATTTATAATCTTTAAATTTATAGATAAGTATAGGTATCTTATAAATAAAAATTGTAGTAAGTTATTTAATAAAAATCTTCAGATTTTATATATAGACAAAATATTGTATAAGTTATTTTATAATCAGAAATTATTTTAGCAGAAATAAAAGGTTTGATTATTCTACTGACAACGCTCGTAGGTAGATATGAGCGGACGAAATTGAGAGTCGAATAGTTTTTACTATTTTGCAATTTTTAAAATAGTTAACGAGATATTAATTTCTAAAGATCGCTAAATAAGCGCGTATTCGCCTGGCCTGCCGTCATAATGCACGTCCATCAATTGCGGTCATATGGTACGCTGAGAGTGAGGTACTGACTGTAGGTTTGTCGCTTCGCATGCTCCTACATGCTCCAACACACTCCTACTATAGTTGCTACTTACTCAAACGTGCTCATTGGAGTGAGTAGGAGCTATGATAGGAGCATGTTAGAGCATGTTGGAGCATGCGACGCGAACAAACCTTGTTGACGGTAGGGACTAGGGACTATAGTCCTACTACCCGCGCAATAAATGATCGCGACCGAAAAAGCATGTACTATGACAACAGTCCAAGCAGATACGTGCTATTCGGTGATCTTTAGGAATTAATATTTCGTTAACTATTGCAAAAATTGCAAAATGATATAGTTTTCGACTCACAATCAGTTTAGTCCGCTTTACTTACCTACGAGCGTTGTCAGTAGAATTATCAAACACCCTGTATAAAACATAAATGCATGAACTTTTTCTTCTTCTCATTACTAATATTAAATTCCAAATTCTATTTTAGAAAAATAATTCTTGTTTCTTGATTCTTATTTTAGGGAAATTCTTCCTGTTTCTTGTTTTTTATCCGGAACTGTGCGTGAGATAACCAAATTTTTAGAGGTGCACTTACGTCTCCTTCACTGACTTCCTTAAACGTCATTTTTATAACACCTAAAATAATCATAGAATATATCAAACAATAAATGTAAACATTATTAATGTAAATGTTTTTTATCAAAGTGAAATGAAATTAACACTAAAAATAGAATATTTGAAATTTTGTGCTACGCAGAGCTTAAACGTATTATCTATACTTTACTATAAATAATTTTACAATACATTACAAAAAATTTACACCTTTAAATCTTAAAAAACAGTATTAGTATTTACATAAAAGATATTTTAATTTTATTAATACCCCAAGTTGGAGGTTGGGGGCGGCTATCAACTTAATTTCGGGAAAATTATTTCGAAATCTCATCTTCAGGATATGTTGGAGGCCCAATGCTCATCCCGAGCTGTAGTGCCGAGTAGGAAATACTTTACAAATATAAACAAAATTTAAAATAAAATTTCTGGTTTAAATAAATTCTAAATATATTCTTACCAAATATAATTTTCCATAAATACAGTGTTTCAAATTTCTGTTTGTTATTTTATTGTCCAGTCCAACTGAATTCTGTAGCTAGTTCGTCTGTAAACAATATTTTCATGAACCTTGTAATGGTTTTTTTCATAGTACTTTGTGAGCAGGAATAAAGTTCCGATGTTTGTAAAAAAAATTAATTCTGATAATGGATACATGCGATGATATAATATATCTTTAATTAATGGCTCCCGCCTCCAAACAATATAATAGGAGGTCGATACGGGATGATATAATATCAAATACATTGTCAAAAAAGCAGAACAAATTAAATACTAGTAATAGAAAATTAAGAAAAAAACAGTAATAGAAATATTACAAAACTTTTAAAGTACCTTAGTTTTCTAAACAAAAAAACATAAGTATTTGATAATATTTTCATCTATACTTACAACTTGCTTTTTAAATGTCTCGTTATGTTTTAATTGTTGTTCAATGCTTTTCACATTATTAAGACTTTTCATGGGAAATTTTTCATTTAAGATTTTGTTCTCAGTATCATAAAACTGATTTTCCAATTGCACAGAATAATTGTTCTGTTTCTTGCTCAATAAACCCTCAAATTTTTTTACTCGATTAGTGATCTCTACTAAACGTTTAATAACAAATGTTTTAAATTTTTTATCTTCTGCGAAAAAAAAGCAAATATTACTTTTTTAATTTATAAGTATACATATATAAAAACTAAATGTTTATCGTTAAATAATAATATTCTAAATATGAAAACATTTTTACCCTCTTTAGGCTCTTTACTTGTGTTGTATGTTACACTGTTTTCACTATTGTTGTCACTTATATTTTTCGAATAATCTGAATTACTTGATTTGTTATACTCAATCCCTTCTTCGATATCAATATCAGAATCTGATCTACCTTTTTCAATATCGTGTGTATTACTCATTATACTGGATATAGATGGAGATTTTGAAGTTGACGGTTCTGGATATGTCAATTGTAGAGATTTACTTATATTTTTCTTTGGCAGCTTTGCAACAACACAAGCATCATCATTATCATCTTCAGATTCAGAACTACTTAATACTTTCTTACAACGTAATTTTCTTTTACGTTTATTTTCCTCTTCATCTGAAGTAGTATTAATGTCGGATAGTTTTTCTGCTAATTTTTCCTTTTCTCGAGCCCTTTTATACGTTTCTTTTGACAAAGAATCATTTATAATTATACATGTTTATTTGTACTTATATATCAGGAGACGCGGTAGCGTCTCCGGCCATGTTCAAAAAAACTGTGAACGCTACAAG